CTAGATGCTCATCTAACCTCCTCTTGAAGACCCCCAGGGTAGGGGAGAGCACCACCTCCCTTGGGAGCCCATTCCAGACCCTGGCCACTCGAACTGTGAAGAAGTTCTTCCTAATGTCCAGTCTAAATCTGCTCTCTACTAGCTTGTGGCCATTATTTCTTGTAACCCCCGGAGGCGCCTTGGTGAATAAATACTCACCAATTCCTTCTGTGCCCCCGTGATGAACTTATAGGCAGCCACAAGGTCGCCTCTCAACCTTCTCTTGCGGAGGCTGAATAGATCCAGTTTCTCTAGTCTCTCGTCGTAGGGCTTGGTCTGAAGGCCCTTAACCATACGAGTGGCCCTTCTCTGGACCCTCTCCAGGTTATCCGCATCCCTCTTGAAGTGCGGCGCCCAGAATTGCACGCAGTACTCCAACTGCGGTCTGACCAGCGCCCGATAGAGGGGAAGTATCACCTCCTTGGACCTATTCGTCATGCATCTGCTGATGCACGATAAAGTGCCATTAGCTTTTTTGATGGCTTCGTCACACTGCCGACTCATGTTCATCTTGAACATGGAAATCCCTTTCCACTTCCGTGCCACCCAGCAGGTCATTCCCTAGGCTGTAGGTGTGCCAGATATTTTTCCTCCCTAGGTGCAGCACTTTGCATTTCTCCTTGTTGAACTGCATTCTGTTGTTTTCTGCCCACTTGTCCAACCTGTTCAGGTCTGCTTGCAGCTGTTCCCTGCCCTCCAGCGTGTCCACATCTCCCCTTAGAACTATATACCCATAAAAGATATCAAACAAAAATATTTGCCTATCGAAAGAAAGGCATTATTGCACGGGTCTAATGATATATCAAACTTCAGCATGCTCTCTCCAATAATTGAAGCTTAGGAGGAAGTTGCTAACTTTTATGCTATAGCCGATTGTGTAATATTAGGTGATTTGGTGAGGAATGGAAAAGACGGTGTGCCATGTCTCTTCTTGACTTCTACCAGCCATTATCTTTTATAATATGAAACGTGCACATTTTAATATTTGAAAGAAAAAATATTTTTGCCTGTCTAGGTGTCTCTCTCTTCCTCTCTCTCTCTCTCTTTCTGCACCATGACTCCTACATTTCTAGATGGACACCTACCCAGGTTCAAAAGGAAGGGTGGAGTATACCTTACTCCTAAAATATTCGGTTACCTTGCTATTAGGTCACCCTTCTGGGAAGAGGGAAATGTAGGTGTTAATCTCCCTCAGGCTGGAGGAGGGCCTAGAACTGGCTTCTCCCTCTTGTTTGTGGGTTTCTGGCCTGTGAGGTTTTGATATAGCTTCAGAAATGAAATGACATCTCTGTTTCCCTATGTATTGTACCATGGATGTATTGTAGCATGGATATAAAAACCTCTATAGTTTCTGAAAAATGATGAGATCTGAGACACTCGTTGCATTAACTTCATTCTAGCAATAAACAGGGAAAATTTCTGGAGAAGCTTGGTGTCTGCAGTGAGCTTGACTTCATACGGTATAAAATGGATGGCATAAAACCAAGGAAAGATCCAACCCTCGTCATCAAAGATCTACAGTTTGGGGAGGTGCCAGTGCAGGTTTACCAGCCAAGGAGCCAATCAATTTGTCCAAGGAAAGGACTGATCTTCATTCATGGCAGCGCTGGGCAGTTTGGAAGCATCAGTAAGAATTCTTGAGAAAAAAAAATTAAATTTAAATGTTAGTATGGCAAGGCGCAAAAAGGGACTAGACAAATTCATGGAGTATCCTCTGGCATCTCTAAGCCAATGGTGGTGGATGCCAGGGGGAATAATGAGCAGGGGATAGATAACTCTAGATAAATCCTGTTCATCTGCTCTCCTTTAAAGAAGTGGTGCTTAACTTTCCAGCCCCACAGGCTGGATGAGTGGTGCAAGGCTGGTCTGTGGGCAGGGTCAGTCCGCAGGCTGGATCCAGCATGGGGTTATTGCGTGGGGTTGGTCTACGGGTGCAATGTGGTGCTCCAACTTGGCGTCACCCACTGGATCCAGCTGCAGAATGACCCCACGCACTGGCACAATCGGATGCATGGGGCCACATCGCCCAGCCCGCAGGGCTGCCCATGGGTCTGGAAATATGGCAGTGAGGGAGCGGTGGCAATGTTAATTGTCATGGCTCTGCCAATGCTCCTCTGCCACCAAATTTCCAGACCATTAACTGATAGGTCAGTATGGAAAAATGAAGATAATTTCAATTTAAGAACTGTATTGTCATCTAAGGTAGAGGCTTTTGTTTCTATGGTGTTACAGTTCCTCAGTGTTATTTTCCACTAGGTATATTTGAAGCTGTGGGATAATGTTACTAAAATTAAGTCAGGAGGAATAGGAAGCAATTAAAAGGTGACAGTTTCATAGAAGGGCATCTAATACACTCTGTGGGTTTTTACCTTCTATGTTGTAATTTTGTCACTTTAGTATAGCTAAGCAAAGCTGTCATTCATGTATGATTTCATATTAAGTCCACTTATCTGATTTTTTAGGTATTGCTTGGCTCCTGAAAATAGGTATCCTATCCAACTCTTAGACTGTGTCACTGCTGCCATATATTTTATGAAGACTGCTGAAGACTATGGTATGGATCCAGCTCACGTTGTCATTGGTGGAGACAGTGCTGGAGGCAATCTTGCTGCTGCTGCTTGCCAAGCATTAGCACATAGAAGAGATATTTCTAAGTTGTGAGCTCAGGGCTTGATCTATCCAAGTCTCCAAGGACTGGACTTGAATTTGCCATCATATCAGCAGAACCAGTCAGTCCCTTTTTTATTCCAGGAAACGGTTGCCATGCTTGGTTTGCGGGGTTTTGGATACAGCATGTCATTCAAGGACTGTCTCCTGGAAGGACCTCATGTACCCATGGATATGAAACTGAAATATAGGAAATGGATACACGCAGACAATATTCCTAAAGAATTTAAAGTCAGAGGCCACACACCAAAGTCACCTTCTTCATTCTCATTGGAAAGCTATGGAATAGCTAGGACACTTTTAAGCCCAGCTTTTTCCCCACTTACAGCTGATGAAGGTACCATTTCCCTGCTCCCTAAGACTTGTATTATAACCTGTGAATACAATGTTTTTCGGGATGATGGGCTCTTGTACAAGAAACATTTAGAAGACAACGGTATTAAAGTGACCTGCTATCACATTGAGAATGGATCCACAGAAGTATACGGTTTTTTTGGTTATCGCCTTTTTTCATTTCCATCAGGGGAAAAAATATTGAACCACACCATACATTTTATAAAAGATTTATAATGTAATTCTCCCTCCCCCACCATAGATACATCTGCCTATTCCTACTAGAAGTGCTTGTAATGGTCTCTAAATGAGTCAGCTCTATTTCCTTATACTGACTATAATCAGAACTGAAAAAATTTGCAATGCGTTCATATGAGACACTTTATGCCCAAACAAGCATACTGTATCGGCTAACAAAAATTACTTACAGGGACCCCATCAAACACTCTGCCACCTGCTTTTTCACCTCCCTCTTCAAACCCATTACATAAATCACTCAAACCTTATCACCTCTCCCTGATATTACACATCCTCAGATGGAAGGAATGACACTATGATTCCATGTCTGAAAAAGCACTGTTATAAATCCAGTATGTGGATAGGAGTTCTGGACACAAAATGCAAACAGCTTTACAAAGAAGCAGCTTATTTTGCTCTCAAATTTAAAAAGAAAAGCAAATGTAGCTCTACTCTAAACTACTGCAGAATTTTGTCGCCCATTGGATGGATTCCTACACGTGGAATGACGATTTAGCCCCTCTTGCAATGCAAATTATTCTGAGACAAGATTTGTATCTATTATACTTCCTAGTTACCAGAGCATTTGAAATTAATCTGTATGATATGGAGCAAAGGTAGATGCAGCATAGTCAGTTCTATAGCTCCTATCCCCTGAATCCTTTCCTTATATTCTGGGGGGAAAAACCCACCATCCAAACCTAGCATGCTTATATTTGTGCCAGAGAAACACATTTTTTGCATGTTTTCAATTAAACAATATAATTTAGAATTAAAAGAGTTTAGAAAAAACCCCCCACTTGATTGCCACTCTTTTGTTTGCTCCTAGTTTAAAATTCTCCGGACCCTTTATGCCTGACTCATATAAGGGCCTTGTTACATGGTAACTTTGGGCGGCTCCTGGAGCTCTTAATAGCTGGATTGTCCGCACAATAACACACCCCAAACTGATTTTAAGCACTTCTAATGCAGCTCAAAGTTACGCCACTCTAGGACAGGATTATCTCTGATCTGTGTTACCCAGCTCGTGTTACACTAAGGTGTGTAGGCTTATACTGTAGGCTACACCTTACTATAAACACCCCCCACCCACTTGGGTCCGCTGCCCTCCCCATCGTCCTCAGCACCCCAGATCCCTGCACATTACTTCCCCTCTCCGCCCTGTGCATCGCTGCCACAGCCTGAAGGCGCTTCAGAGTATGCTCTGATGTGTGCAGAGGCGCTCCTTGGCTGTGCAGTGTCAGTGCTGCCAACTCGCTGCTCTTCAAAGGCTCAGCACTCGAGAGTCTGTTCAGGCACCTCTGGATAAATTTTTCTACCAGGAGAACAAACCTGGGAGAATTCTCCCAGATTATTTCAACATGTGTATGCAGCCACTGTAAACTCCTGTTACACCAAAAAGTTTCCCCCTTCGCAGATACAATAACATTCTTTAGAATAATTATCCAATAATCTCTCTATATAAATGGCTTGGTCCGTCTGTCTGTGTGTCTGTCTGTCCATAATGCTCGGGGGGGGGCGTGGCTCCCACCAGTGCTGTGTCAAGAATGCCCACCACCCCTGCAGTTTTCAGCCCGCTGCGCCTTAACACACACAGGGTCATCTATGTCATGAGTTTTGCCTGTCAGCAGCTTGAGGTGCAGTTCCCCCCAAGCTCCTGCACCTATCACCTTGAAACTTGGCAGGTTTGTGGCCTCACTAGGGGCCACCATCCCTGCAGTTTTCACCCCCCTGTGGTGTAACACATACACATGACATGAGTTTTGCTTTCAAGAATTTAGGGTGCAGTTCTCCCTGAACCCCTTCACCGATCTTCTTGAAACTTGGCAGGCTTCATGCTCTCCACAGAGGCTACCACCCAAATAAGACAAAAAACAATAAAGTTATAGATATTTCATTGATTCCCCATTATACCCTCTGGCCGGATCGCTGAGGTGGCTCCGAAGCTTCAGACGGATTGAAGCAGGAACCCAGTCCAGAGCTCCAGATCAGATCCCTAGCATCCAAAGTGGCTGGATCTGAAGCCAGATCAAATAGCTGCCTACTCGTGCAAGCCTAATATGCAGGTTAGGATGTGTTTTCTATTGCAGATATAAATGGAATGAAAATAGAAGACACTTACCTCACATTACTAAATCACCTTGAAAAAAAAAAGTTGAGATTTGTGCTGTGAGGATGGTTACGGGTTTAAAACTTTTGTGTCAGCTTCTCTTCTGGAGACTTAGCTTGCATTTCCTCTCTCTACAGGAAGTACAACATCTACCATGGTATTCACAGTTCATGTTTGGATTGTGCGTTCCCCGTAGGAGAACGTTTCAGAGTTCTGTGGTAGGAAGCATGAAATCTAGGAGAAACTCCAATAATGGTAGAGGGTCTGTGAAATCATCTTTTTTATTATTATTTTCTCCCCAACAAGGTATAGTTTACCTCGGGAGTCAGAAAGCTTTTGTGATTCGTGAATTGCCGCCACTTCCATGCTAATTGTCACCAATTATCAGTGCATCAGTGCACCAATTATCACGCGCATGATCAGAGGTCAGGGAAGCAGACCCTACGATGACAGGCTGAGAGCCCTGGGGCTCTTTAGCCTGAAAAAGCGCAGGCTCAGGGGTGATCTTATGGCCACCTACAAGTTTATCAAGGGTGACCACCAGCATCTGGGGGAACGTTTGTTCACCAGAGCGCCCCAAGGGATGACGAGGTCAAATGGTCACAAACTACTGCAAGATCGTTTCAGGCTGGACATAAGGAAGAATTTCTTTACTGTCCGAGCCCCCAAGGTCTGGAACAGCCTGCCACCGGAGGTGGTTCAAGCGCCTTCATTGAGCACCTTCAAGATGAAACTGGATGCTTATCTTGCTGGGATCCTATGACCCCAGCTGACTTCCTGCCCTTTGGGCGGGGGGCTGGACTCGATGATCTTCCGAGGTCCCTTCCAGCCCTAATGTCTATGAAATCTATGAAATCAAGTTAATTATTATGTTGAAGGGACAGGGGAAATTGATTTGCTGAAATAATGAAAGGCTTGAAGAAATGAGTAGGAGTAAGAACGTTTGGATTGTCTCATCGCTCTTAAAAAACTTTGTGTACTGGTAAATCCCGCTGAAGAGATACCATTCAGAGATACCATAATTCGGGCACATTTTCCTGTTCTACAGATTAACTATCATTTGGCGTCCACTTTCCCAGTGGTAGGAATTTTTGCATGGGTTATTATGATCAGTTCTAATTATTTTTTGTGTAGTGCCTGTGATCTCTCACTTTGGACCAGTAGCCACTATGTATCATGCAATCACAGAACTAAAAGATAGTCCCTCCTCTAAAGAGCTTTCAAACTAAGTATAAAGCAAAGGACAACAGATGGAGGCACAGACACAGGAAGAGCATGAGTAAACAATGAGATAATACTGGTTGGCATGGCATGATGAACAGTGATATCAACATATCAGCAGACAAGGAAAAACTCAGGAGGATGATGAGAGAGATTTCTGGATGTTTATAAAGTGCTTCTCTCAAGTTTGAAGGGGCACTGTGGGAGATCACACAAAGGCGCTCATTTGAAAACTTCACAAGTAGATTTGTAGTAGTAGAAAATTATTAGCCAATCAGACAGGAATCAACATCCTGATGAATAAGAAATGATAGAAAGTTTGGAAATAGTCTTGAAAGTGAAAAAGTAGCTTATATTTGGTATGACTGCATGACTGCCAGATTCATAAAATTGTTGAAGGCCAAATATAACGCACATAAAAATACTAAGATCTAAAATGAGGAACAAAAAAAGACATGCATGTAGGCAAGATCAAATGACATAAAATTAATTCTTGTAGTTCAAGTAGCAATTTCTATAACCTGTTTCACGTTTCTTTAATGTGCCTGTTAATGTATTTTCAAGAAATGGAAATACAAAAAATACATGTAAAATGTAATTCATTCTGGGGTTCAGATGAGGGAAATAGACTTAATAGATTTTTAGGGTCAGAAAGGACTTCAGTAGGTCATTTAGTCTGACCCCCTGCCCTGGGCAGGAAAGGGTGCTGGGGTCAGACGACCCCAGCCAGGTGCTTGTTCAGTCTCCTCTTAAAGACCCCCAAGGTAGGGGAGATCACCACCTCCCTTGGAAGCCTGTTCCAGATTCTGGCAACCCTCACCATAAAGAAGTTCTTCCTGATGTCCAATCTAAATCTGCTCTCTGTCAGTTTGTGGCCATTGTTTCTAGTTACCCCAAGGGCTGCCCTGGTAAGCAGAGCATCTCCTATTCCTTGCTTTCCCCCCACAATGAGTTTGTAGGTGGCCACAAGATCGCTTCTCTTCAACCTTCTTTTGTGGAGCTGAAGAGATCCAGGTCCCTCAATCTCTCCTTGTAGGATCTTACCTGCAGGCCCCTAACCATACGAGTAGCCCTCCTCTGGGCCCTCTCAAGGTTATCCATATCTCTCCTGAAGTGTGGCATCCAAAACTGGACACAGTACTTCAGCTGCAACCTGACCAAGTATCACAAGGGGAAGTATCACTTCCTTAGACCTGTTCATGATGCACCTGCTAATAGATGATAGAGTGCGGTTAGTTTTACTTATCGCTTCATCACATTGATGACTTACGTTCATCTTGGAGTCTGCTATGACTCCCAGATCCCTTTCTGCCACTGTGCTATTTAGAAAGTCATCTCCCAATCTGTATGTATGTTGGTGATTCTTTCTCCCTAGATGCAGCACTTTGCACTTATCTTTGTTAAATTGCAACCTATTCTGTTCTGCCCACTTTTCCAACCTGTCCAGATCCACCTGGATTCATTCCCTGCCCACCGGTGTGTTTACTTTGCCCAATAATTTGGTGTTGTCCACAAATTTGGACAGTGTGCTCTCCACGCCCTCATCCAAGTCACTGATGAAGATACTGAACAACATTGGTCCGAGAACCGAACCTTGTGGGACCCCACTGCCCACATCTTTCCAGGTCAATACCAACCCATCCACCACCACTCACTGGGTGCATCCCATAATCCAATTCACCACCTACATCTGCTTAGTTTATTTATAAGAATGGGATGAGACACTATATTGAAGGCCTTTTTAAAATCCAAGTAAATGACATCTACCTCGACTCCTGCATCTAAGCATTTTGTGACCTGGTCATAAAAAGAAACAAGGTTAGTCAGGCAGGATCTATCTGTGATGAGCCCATGCTGACTGCCCTTCAGCATTATTTTTCCTGCTGGACTCCCACAAATGTGATCCTTAATAATTTTTTCAAAGGTTTTCCTGAGGATAGAGGTGAGACTAACCAGCCTATAGTTACCCAGATCTTCCTTCCTCCCCTTCTTGAAAATAGGGACCACACTGGTCCTTTTCCAGTCCTCTGGGACCTGTCCTGAGCACCATGAGCGCTCAAACAGTTTTGCCAGTGGTACTGCTATGACACTGGCTAATTCCCCCAGCACCCTTGGATAAAAATTGTCTGGGCCTGCTGACTTAAACATGTCCAGCCCCTCCAAGTGCCCCATCACTAGGTTGGCGCTAACTGTTGGTGGGCTGGTGTCCCTCTTGTGCCTGTCTATAATCCAACTGGGAGATCTGTCTTTATCTGTGTCTTTATCTGCAAAAAACTGATTGAAGAGCTCAGCTTTGTCCCTCCTATCTGTCACCAATTGCCCTAGTCTGTCCTGTATGGTCTCTATGTTGCCATGTGCCTTCATTTTGCTCCCTGTATACCTAAAGAAGGACTTTTTGTTGTCTTTAATTTTTGTTGCCAGCCTGAGCTCCATTGCTGCTTTGGCCTTTCTAACTGACTCCTTGCCAGTACGAGCCAAGTAGGTATACTCCTCCTTGGTGGCTACCCTCTGCTTCCACAGACTGTATG